ACGGCCCCGCGGGCGTGTGGCAGCCAGCCCGAAAGCTGCCTCGGTCACGAGTGGGAAAAGCAACGTGAAAATCGGTTTAGTTGCTGACTCTGAAAAGCGACGTCAGGGCAGAGTGGCTCCTGTGCTCCTTTTAAGCGTGTCTGCTTGGCTGCCTGCACCCCTCAGCTCGTCTTCTATGTATTTTTAGCAGAAGTGATGCATGAATTTGGGAACGTTTCATGTAGCTGAAAATGGGGTGGGAGCCCTGATTCCAGTTACTGCTGTCCCTGCCAAGATTACGGGTTTTCAGCAGGCTACCAGAGGTGACTGGGGGGGAGCGGGTTCATTTTCAGGAGGGTTTATACTTGTTTTTCGGCTTCATATTCAGATACATAACACATTAAATGAAGATTTCTTTAGTACTGCCTGTGTGATGTGGGACTTTATGGCAGTTACTTACGTAACTACGTATTTTTCATTTGAAAGAAAAATTAGTCAGCCTTTGTTTGAAGAAGGTGTTCAGATGGACTTCTCAGAGATGACCCCAGGTTGCCCGGCATTACAAGGCCCATCAGTTCTGAGGGGAACCGGCAGAAGCCGTGCCAGAGTTCCTAGGGTTTTCATCATTGGAATATGTTTAATTGTAAGGGTGAATTTCTTTTACTTAGACTGTTTCTGACATCCCATCTCTGACCTGGTGGGTGACCAATGCAAACTTGTTAACCTTTTTTACCTTCTTCTTCAGAGTTCCTTTTTCTTTTTTTTGCTAGTGAGTGATGAATCTAGTCGTGACTCAGAAGTTGCTCCTAGAGAGCACATCGGCCCTGGTGGCTCTATACAACCTCGAGAAGAAAAGCAGGAACCAGTGGTGGTTCGGCCATATCCACAGGTTCAGATGTTGACACAGCACCACCCTGTCCAGTCTGGTGCCCCGGTGACAGTGACAGCACCACCAGCACATTTGACTCCAGCTGTCCCACTTTCCTTTTCAGACGGACTTATGAAGGTAATGAGGAGGCTCACAATTCAGATGGGAAAAAATACAATCTATATTACAAGTTAGAGTGTTGAGCAAAAATAAATTACGCCCAAAACTTCCCTGCTTCTGTTTCTTAAGCTTTCTGTGCATGCTTCTAGTGACTGTACACTGCCTCATGGGTTTAGCTCTTCTGTATGATACACAGAGGACTTCATAGTATCACAGCATTATTTTTAAGGGGGGTGGCTTTTGTTTATCTCTTAAGAGTGACTTCAGTCAGTTTCTGAAATCTTCCCTTTTCTCTGCAGGAGTGGATGAGAATATCAAATTAACTGTTAACACCCAGTGTCTGTAGGGGAATACCATAGCCCTAACAGATTCCACTTGTGACTCGTGCTGTATGTTAGAAGCTGCATATTTCCAGTACAAAAGATGCCCTTTCTTTGTCCCAAATGAAAATGGAATAGCTCTAAATGACCAATATCCTTCCCCTCCAAATACTTAACCATGCTTATCCTTGTGCAAAGCTGACTTTCTCTCCAGGCTTTGACCTCCCAAAATGGTTTCTGCTTCAACATTGAGCTCTCATTTGGAGTTACCAATGTTTCTGTCTTTGTATTTCTTGTAGCCTCCCTTGAAGCCCACCATGCCCAGCCGGCCCATTGCTCCTGCTCCACCCTCTACTCTCTCAGCTCCCACAAAGGTTCCTGGGCAAGTTACTGTGACCATGGAAAGCAACATACCACAGGCTCCAACAATTCCTGTGGCAACAATCAGTGGGCAACAGGTCTGTTTTTTTGTTTGTGGTTTTTCTTTTTTTCTGTTCCAGCTCACTGTATGGTCAGATCAATACTAATATTGGTACAACTGAGGTGGGCTCTTGCAGCAGGAGGGGAGGTAGGGACAGCAGGCTTCCCCATTCAGTGGCCACTGGTTGTTGGATCAGTTCTGCTTGGAGCATTAAACCTCAGATTCAGTTATCACTAGCTCTTTAGAAAGCTGCTGATTTGTTGTAATCCTCCAACAGACGTAGCGCAGTGAGGTTATGATAGCAGAGCCATATCCAAAAGCTGCGCTGCAGCTGAGTTTTTCCTTAAAAGCTCCTGCTGTTTTAGTATCACTTGGGGAATTTCTAGTGTAGACAAACTGCTGGGGCTCATCACTGCAGTGTTCTATAGCTGTCCTGGGAGCAGATGAGAAGAGACTGGTGAACAGTTCATGGTTTTGCAGTGTATTCTTATTCAACCACTAGTGACAAAATTTGAGGGGGGGAAAGTGTAGATAATGCTTTAGAAATTCCGCCCCCCCCAACTTGGACTGCAGAGCCAGTCCTTGTGATTTGAAACTAGTTTGCCAGTTGCCCATCACTTCAGTTGCTCTGAAGTCTCAGGGTTTTGATGCAAAGTGCCTTTAGGTGGATTTGAGTTAGTCTGGCTAAGGATGTGCAGCAGTTTCAGTGGATTTTTATCTTTATTAATATCCCTGGGAAGTCCAGAATTATTAGAAAGTAAAATTAACTTGTTGCAGCATTTGCCAGGTTCCCACTATTCTCTTGACTTTACTGGAGAGGTGGCATGAATCTATGCCTTAAAAGTCACTAATGGCAGAAGGGCCATGTTGTGGTTTAACTTGTCAGGCAGCTGAACACCACACAGCTGTTCGCTCACTCCCCCCCGCCCCAGTGGGATGGGGGAGAGAATCAGGAAAAAAAAAAAGTAACATTTGGGGGTTGAGATAAAGACAGTTTAATAGGACAGAAAAGGAAGGGCAAATAGTAATAATAATGGTTAAAAGAATATACAAAGCAAGTGCTGCACGATGCAATTGCTCACCACCTGCTGACCAATGCCCAGACAGTTCCCGAGCAGCGGTCACCCCTTTCCCGGCTAATTCCCCCCAGTGTATATACTGAGCATGACGTCATATGGTGTGCAATACCCCTTTGGCCAGTTGGGGTCAGCTGTCCTGGCTGTGCCCCCTCCCAGCTTCTCGCTGGCAGGGCGTAAGAGGCTGAAAAGTCCTTGACTAGCGTAAGCACTACTTAGCAACAACTAAAAACATCGATGTGTTATCAACATCATTCTCATACTAAATCCAAAACACAGCACTGTACCAGCTACTAGGAAGAAAATTAACTCTATCCCAGCCAAAACCAGGACAGGCCATCTCTCTAGTTGATATGTGCATGACTGCTGACTGACTGTCACCCATGTGTCAACCAGAAAAACAGATCAGTGAAATAGATAAAATGTTTACATCTTCCACACAAAATGTCAGCAGGTTCTGTAACTTTATCCTGTAGAAACATCTGCCTCTTTCCCCACTCAACTTGTAAAGCATGCAACCTTTGTACACCAAGTATGTCTACAAAATCTCTTTTCTGTCTGGGACTTGGATATGGTAATACTGTTAGTGCAGGCATTAATTCTTGTCAACACAGCTTATCGTTTATTTTGGGTTTTGTTATTTCTTTAACTCTGCAGGGGCATCCTAGTAACTTGCATCATATCATGGCTACCAATGTGCAGATGTCTATCATCAGAAGTAGTGCTCCTGGGCCTCCGCTACACATAGGAGCTTCTCACCTACCCCGAGGTAAAGATCAAGCTGTGCTATGCCTGTCTTCTGTTCACAGCCTCTCGGGGGAGGTGCATCTAGCCTTCACCTCTAAAAATTCTCCTCATGGCTAACGCAGCTAATATGTCAGCTGTTAAAACTGCTAGCATAACTAGGTGACTGCTGGCCTTTTAAGCATTATGTTGCCTTCAGCCATTTAGGGCAGGACTGTGTGACAGTGTTTAAAATGCTGGCAGTTACCAGCATGTCTGTTGTTCTAGTTCTGCGCTGTTAAAACAGCGAACACTTTCAAGACAAAATACACACTGGTATAGACTGACCTGTCCTGCAAAATGTCATGTACGTTCTTGGTAGCAAGCGTTGTTCACCTGTGACAGTGGCACCTGAGCAGTTGTGAGGCATGTTCTTGTACCCACTTGTCACAGGATCACTTGTGCATTTTTGTGCATGATAACATACCGTGTTGTGTGCATTTGCATTTACCCTTGAGTTAAATGCTGGTGCTAACTACAGGCTCTTGTCTCCCAGGGTTTTGGCTGCTACGGCTTACAAAACAGGACATCAGCCCCTTAAAAGAAGCCCTGTGCTCGATACAGTCTGTCTGATTTCTGACTGCAGTTTTACTTTCAAAAAAGCTTATGGGATGGGTTTCTAGTTCAACTTTAAACTGATCTGAATTCAGAGTACTATTTATATTTTTATTTCTTTTCATATTTGATGTTATTTGGTCACTCAAGAAAAATAAATTGACATGAGCAAAGACCTAATCTTTTACTAGAGTAGGTGGAAGGACTGTGCAGCTTTATTTGTAGCTGAAGTAAAATGTAGTTTCGTTCACTTGATTCTTGCAGGGCAGCTGCCGCAAACTTTGTATTGTCATTTAGTGCATGTTCTCTTTTTTTTTTTCCCGTCCTGCTTTTATTCTCTCAACTTGAATATTACCTTTTGAGGTAATAATTTCAATTGGGAACATCTATAGAAGCTATGCAGTCTACTCCATCAAATGATTTCAAGGCTATTTGCCTTCGACAGCAATTTCTTTTGATTAGGAGACAGCCAACAGCAGACAAATTAACCAAAGCCCTGTGCTGTTGTAGCTTTAAAAGTTGGTTGGGTTTTTGTTTTGTTTTTCTTCTATTGCACATGTATTTTTCTTCGGAACTTGATCAGGTGCAGGGAGATTATTGTTGGTATCAGGTGACTTATTTACACATTAGCCCAGTGATCAAACTTTGAATTATTTCTACTGACTTCCATAGCTTGGAATGAAAAAGATTGGATTTGCAATATAAGGTTATTACAGGGGATTAAGAAGCATCAATAAAGCCAATTCATTTAAAATAATACCTACCCTTCCCCACATACTTTTGTGAAGCTCACGTATATTTGTTGCAAGCCTTACTTTTAAACCAATGTCACCCGAACTGATACACATATGAAATTCATTCAAACTGAAATACATCCCAGCTAACCAAGTCTGTCTCTGCGGTCATAATGGAGTCATTTGGGTGCACGATATTGTAACACACTTTGTTTGTTTCCCAGGTGCAGCAGCTGCTGCAGTGATGTCCAGTTCTAAAGTAACTACAGTCCTGAGACCAGCTTCGCAGTTGCCAAATGCAGCTACAGCTCAGCCAGCAGTTCAGCACATCATTCATCAGCCAATCCAGGCAGGTAGCAGCCAGGCAGCTCTGCAGAACACTGACCGCCGGCTCCAAATTCTTCCTGGCACTTACTTCTAATTGTGTATTTACTGGGCTGAGGCTACTGTCAGCTCTCTTCCAATTCTGTTTCTTGGGTGCCAGTTTCTAATAGCAAGAAGTGAAATAGTTGCGTTAGTTCTGTGGTTTTATTTCCTTCGTAGACTTGTTTTAACTGTCTCCAAAGTGCTTAGAAACTGGGAAGAGGATTTAGTTTAGATATACTCGAAGTTTTAAAGTCTGAAAGGTCTGGTATGATATGCTTATGTTGGTTTATTCTTAAATATATATATTGCTGTAGAATAAAAAAAAAATCTCATTTTAATATGCTGCTGTGTATCTCAGCTTACATTCACGTATAAGTAGAAGATTGTAGATAGCCTCTCCCTACAGTAGTACTAGTGTTCAGTGTCAGGATAAAGAGTTAAACATCTTTACTTCGTGCTTTCAGCTAGGATCCCGATGTTATCACCTTTGATTTCCTGTATATGTTTGGATCAGGGTTTCTTTTCATTCTGAAGGGAACTGACCTTTTGGTTTTTTCCTAGAGACCTTCAAGGATCCAGTCTTGTTAACTTTGTTGGTTACTGATTCCTATGACATACCTGCTTTGAAAACCAGGACAGATCTGCTTAGGAGCTTGCAGATCAAGTCAGAAAGACTGGAAATGTCTTAGAATGCCAAAACATAGTGATAAGATCTAGAAAAAACAGTTTTAGCAAAGTAATTCCTAGTTGTTACTATCTAAATAGCAGAATTTCTTTTCTGAATGTGTCTTTTTGACTCATTTTTATAGTCTCGTCCTCCCGTGACAACTTCAAGCACTATTCCTCCGGCTGTGGTGGCAACTGTCTCGGCCACAAGAGCTCAGTCCCCTGTTATAACTACAACAGCAGCACATGCTACAGAATCAACCCTCAGGTAAAGGCGCTTTGAAATCTACGGTGCTCTGACTTTACAGAGGCTGCAGGAAGGGGAAACATACGTGCTAATCATCCAGAGCTGATAATCCTCTAGATGTGGGATGATATAATACAAAAATAGTAATGCTTGGACAGTGCAAATGCTTTCAGTTCCATGAATAAAAATTACTGTAAACGTGAACTGTTGCTCTGTGTTCTGAGAAAGAAAGAGCTTAATGGATCAGTTGTGATCTCCTGCTTCCTGGAAAGCAGAGTTTCTGTTGTAGGAACCTGTGGCTAATTCAGCCCATCTGTTTCATGAAGACACAGTGAAAATATGACACGCAAATGTCAAAAAGCATCCCTGACAGGAAGTCTTTTTCTAAGAAGTGATATTGATAAGTCTGCCCTCCTAGTTGGGTACTTGTAGAAGATGAGGACAGAACAGTGTGGTTAAAGCAGCATAAGAAACTTGACCACGTCTTTGATAGCAGTGCTGCGTTCAAAGAGAAAGAAACCAAGGCCTGATGTGTGTCCCTGCATCTTATCTTTCATATTTAGTATCCACGTGGTTATCTTCATAACTATTTTTCTTTCTCTCCAGTCGACCCACCCTGTCTATCCAGCAGCACCCGCCTTCTGCAGCTATTAGTATTCAGCGGCCTGCACAGCCAAGGGATACAGCTACTCGGATTACGCTACCGTCTCACCCAGCTATAGGAACACAGAAGCCACAGCTCCACACCATGGCTCAGGTAAACTGCAAGAAGGAAAAAAAAACCTCTTGCTTCTTCTAGACTTCTCTTTTGCTTCTATCTTGAGCGCTAAGATTAAATTTGGGAAGAGAGTTAGTATTGGGTTAGAAATTCATGTTCTTTACAGTCAATGCAGCATGATTCCATACTAAGTAAATATTTTAAATGCACTAGTCTTCTAACTCAAAGATTTTCTTTTCTTTTCATAGAAAACCATTTTATTCACTGGTACTCCAGTGGCAGCAGCAACAGTGGCACCTATTTTGGCAACAAATACGATTGCTTCAGCAACCACAGCTGGTGAGTATTCATAATGCTATTGTGGGGGAGTTGTGTGTTTTTTGTTGGATTTTTTGTTGTTTTTCCTCCTTGAAGGTGGGACCTGATTACTTTTGAGGATTCTTTACTTATGGTAAAGACTGCATTTGGAAGTACATGAGCAGACTTCAGGAGAGAAATTTCTGGGTTCTTCAGGGAGGTTGTCTGGGTCGGGGGTTTTGCCCTCCTTATTTGGATATAGATACACTGGTGTGATAGGGCTCCGTAGAAAGATCTTGTATGTTTTTTTTCTTTTTCTTTAGGTTCTGTGTCTCACACCCAAGCGCCTACGAGCACCATTGTCACCATGACAATGCCCTCCCATTCTTCCCATGCTACAGCTGTCACGACCTCAAACATCCCAGTTGGTGAGTGATTTCAGTTTTAAGAAGAGTGTGTAGCTGATGCTTCAATTTTCTGTTTATACTAGTAGTGTTTGTGCATATTAGCAAATTAAGGAGGGGAAGAAAATAGGTTCAAGCTGGGAGGAACCAATTAACAGGTCTACTGTGGCGCAGCTTTTTTAATACCAGGAAGAAATAGATGTTCTAGGAGTAAGTAATAAAGTGGCTCATTAACTTACTCAATGGAATTTTTAGATGAACTTGAGACTTTTGGCATTTCAGAACCTGCATTGTATATACTGGAAGTTGTAACAGCTTGGTGATAGAATATGGCTTTTATAGTTAATTTTATCAGTTCCTTCCTGTGCTTCTTGAGGCGTTAGGTGTAGCCTAGTCGAGTTTGGTTAGTGTGTTCATTTGGAGGTAAAACACTAAGGTCTAGAAGTGGGAAACTTATTTGCCTAGATGTGGAATCTGCCTAAGGTGTTTCCTGCAGAACTGCATAAGTTCCCTCTTGTTCATCTCTGTTTAAATGACCTCCTTCTTGTTCTTTTGAAATCTTGTAATATCTTTCCCTGCCATAAATTTCCAAGGAGTGAAGTTGTATCTCGAAACATCAGTGTTTCCTGTAAAGCTTACACCTGTAGGTGTATCCTTTCTTTTCTTGGCCTCTGTCTATGTATACTTGTCTGCCTTGATCTCATTTCCCTTGGTCTCTGTCAAGTTCTGCTTTGAAAACTTGGATAAATAAGTTCTTGACAGCAAAAAGGATTGGGCTGATCCTAAGGGGAAAAAAAAATTCATTTGAGCACTGGAGTAACTTAATCTGTTAGGAAGTAAAACTCATATATGCATTTATAATGTCCTTCTATTCCGGTACAAAATGATGAAAAATGCTTCATTTCCCTTGTTCTTTCTTCCTATTGAGGAAACCTATCACCTCTGTGGATAGGAACTCATGTGGGGATGGGGTGGTTTTTTATTTGGCGGGGGGGAGGAGTAGTATTGGGGTTTTTGCTAGGAGAATTAGTCTTGCCTTTGCAGTGTCTTCCAACTTTGACTGTTAACTGATTACATGTTTGTCTTTATGCAGCTAAAGTTGTTCCTCAGCAAATCACGCATACTTCTCCCCGTATCCAGTCTGATTACACAGCAGAGAGGAGTAATCTCATACCCCTCTCTAGTCACCGGGCATCTCCAAACCCAGTAGCAATGGAAACCAGAAATGACAACAGGTGGGGAAATAACAGCTCTATGAATTAGAGTGTGTGTGAGTAGGCTTTGAGTGCCTTGCTGCTTTTCTAGGTTCTGATATGTTGGAAATAATGTGTTTTAAAAACCCGGGATGGGGGCAATTTGGTAGTTTCGAATTAATCATGATAGTCGAGATACTCGATAGCTTATGACAGTTGAGATTACAAAACTCAGGGAGTAGCCCAAAGGCAGGGGTTGCAGATGAACTGTTGAAATGGTATGTGTAATACTTGCTCTCTTTGATGCCTGTAGGCAGTCGGTGCCTGTCCAATTCCAGTATTTCTTACCAACATACCCGCCCTCTGCCTATCCTTTGACTGCGCACACCTATACCCCCATCACCAGCTCGGTGTCCACCATTCGCCAGTATCCAGGTAAGACAAGCTTTGGGGCGAGCTGACTTTGACGCTTTGTTCAGTTGTTAGTTTATGCATGAGCTTTAGCGATGGGAGAAGCTAAGAGGCTTTTATGCTTGATTCTGACAACTTGTCACAGAAATTCTTTGGCGACTTGTTCACTGAGGGGAAAAACTCATGGGCAAGGGGTATTGAACTACTTCAGAGGTACTAAACACAGCTAATAACAGTTTTCTCAGGAGTTTCACTTTTGATATCCAAGGGTTTGCATCTCTATAAGTAAAAGTTTTTAATTCTACAAATCAAAACAGTTCAACTCTTCCAAACCAAACCAGCTCTTTGATGTATCTTCATTCCCTGGTGTTCTGACAAGCCCATTTTAGTCTCTTTCCACATGAGTGTACAGTTTGAGAGAAAACCCTGAACCAAAAATGGAAAAAATAAGCTGCATTGCACACTTTTGCATTAGTGTTCTATTTAAAAGAATGGAGCAATTAATGTGTTTGAGCTGTTGCAGTAATTTGCAGACAGTAAAAAAATCATGTATAATGTGAGCCCATATCGTCAACCCAAACTTGACTATATGGGCTAAGTTCTGCAACAAGGGTGTTTTGCATAAGGTGTTCACTAAGAGAAATGATGTGCCATACTTTATACAGAAGCTGTGATAAAATTTGGAGCGCTTTTAGGTAAAACTGAGTGGTTTAGAACTGTTCTCTATAATGTGATAATCTCCACAGTCCAAACCCTAGGAATATGCATGATTTGGATTTTCATGGAACGCCTGTGTCTGCTGGCAGCATGTTACCCTTGAGCAGTCTAGAGGGAATTTGGAAGGACTTGGAGGCGGCAAAGCCCATTTGCTGAACGGGAAAGTACACACAGAGAATTGAGTTACTGGGGCCTGTTCTTTGTGTCATTGAAATTCCAGTGAAAAGTTGCAAGTCCTGACTATGTCATGTCAGGATTTGAGGTGGGCTTCACGATAATTAAATGACTTGCGAAAGGGACAGGTGAGCTGCTTTTGTACCTTCCTGCACTTTGGTTGAAGGTTTTAAAGGGGAGCGTGCAGGTGAGTGGTGGTACTTGGTGTTGGCAGCTGTGGTTGAGGAGTGGTTACAGAGCCCCTGATAGAACATGGTTGCAGACTATCAGGAGTTTCAGTTTCGGTAGCATGTTGGGGTGATGGTAGGCCAATGCTAATTTTTCAAAAAGCAGATGTAGGTTCTTCAGCAAGCTCATGGAGACAGACATTTTGCTTGTTAAATTGACTTGAAGCATCAGTTGAAGGTACTAATTATGGCAGTAACTGGTGATAACTCAAAGCGGACAATTCAAGGTGTCAGGAGGGACATGCACCTGTGCTGAGCACAGCCGGTTGAGGGCTTAGTGCGGAGGAGACTTTCAAAAAGATCACTGAGATAAGGAGTGTTAATACAGAATTTTGAGGAAGAATGTTGGCTTTGGCTTTCCAAATGTTGGTTGTGTTTATATAATCTCCAAAAAGGATTTTGTTAGATGGAAAGTTCTGCAACAGGGGTGTTTTGCATAAGGTGTTCACTAAGAGAAATGATGTGCCATACTTTATACAGAAGCTGTTTTCAGGGACCTGGTGCTGGATTTCGGGGTTTTGACAGCTGTTTTTAGAGTGTCTTGTCAGCACAAGAACTTGATCGAAATCCTGTGACAATGAGAAAAACAGCTTGTTCTGCGATGAGAGGGCTCTCCATTGTTAGCAAGCAAGTCCATTGTTGGCAAGTTCGCACTTGCATTCTGTGTATGGCTGCAGAAATGGTGGTACTGTTCTGTAAAGACTGTGGAAATCTGGAGATCCAGGAACTGCAGGTAGTCTAACAGCATTGTTAAATGCTGCCTGGGAGGAGTGTAATGTGCCATACAGTAGATTTGGAAAGATGGAATCGTAGTTGCTCAGAGCTGTAATTCAAATAAATTAATTGAACTTAGAGCAGGTGCTTCATTGGGAACATTGTTCTGCCACAAAAAGATTGCGTCTTCATTTTAGCTGTGGGATCCGGCCTATAATTGCAAGCCCTGTTCTAAGTCAGATAAGATTGTACTCAACTTCAGAACAGTTTGTCCACTTGTGCTAAGGAAAATTTGTTTTTATGACTATGTGGCTGGGGAAAGGGGATAAGGAAGTAAGACCTGTTTTAAGGTACTTGCGCTTGAGTCTCTGCTTGCTTTTGTTCAGTCAAAGGTTTGGTGTTTTTAATTGATGCAATAATAAGCTCTGCGGAAAGACTGTCTTTTGAAAAGAAATGGCTTAGGCTTCTGATTTATTTTATTTTTTTTTTTTTTAAGCAGGGCAAATGCAAAGTGTTGGTACTTACAAGCATTGTAAAGTAAGATACTGAGCAAAAATAGTGCACAGCTTTCTGAGGCTGGAAGCTGGGTACAGAAATATAATTTGAGTCTAACCAAAAGTGGACTTAAACTTGGATCTTTTCTCTCTTGTTGCAATTTGAAATAGAAAATGGAATGGAAACAAATAGTAACGTTTCATTCTTCTGGCAGACAATCTGGTCTGTCCACTCTCAAATTTACTACTGCAACAAGCAGGCTGGCAAATTAATTTTTCAAAGCCAAAGTAGTCTTTGAAAGTAAATATTTGAGTGAGAGGTGCTAGGCGGAACTGAGGCGACCCACTGGGTAGGCGTGACAAGGTGTCTGTGTTGCTGCTCACAGTTTCAGCCCAGGCACCCAACTCGGCCATCACGGCTCAGACTGGCGTAGGAGTGGCCTCCACTGTCCACCTCAACCCCATGCAGCTGATGACTGTAGATGCGTCTCACGCCCGTCACATCCAGGGCATCCAGCCGGCACCCATCAGCGCGCAGGGGATCCAGCCGGCACCAATCAGTGCCCAGGGCATTCAGCCAGCACCAATTGGGACACAAGGACTCCACCCCGCTGCACCAATTGGCACACAGGGACTGCAGCCAGCACCAATCAGTGCTCAGCAGCCACAAGCTGACACCAAGACTTCAGGTACGAGCAACCAGCAAAGTCCATGCTTTGGATCTAGTCAGAGCAACTGAACTTCTGTCCTACAAATTTGGCTTATTTTTTTTCTTTTACTCTGACTAATGGTCTTGTTATAGTCTCTGTGGTCCAGTAGTGGACACTAAATACATTTATATGCGTATTCTCTCAGCAAATATTTTTTACCTATTTCTTAATTTATTTTTTTTAAGCGTATCGGGTGGAATGTGTGGGTAGCCTTGAATAGGGGTTACTTCAGTGGATAAGACTGGTAGTGCCTGAGCTTAAACAGTTCTCTTCAGTAAGGCCTTGTCAGAAAAGTCATTTACAAGTCAATGATGTTCTCTGAACTGTTCCGGCTACTCACTAGATCACAGTAGCAATTAAAATACGGCCAGGTACCCTCAGCAGTTGGTAACCTGATCTTGGACTGTGATAGAAACAGTCTTTCATTAAAAACGATTGGTCTGATGCAACCCCAAGAACTTACTGAAGAAAAGGGATATGGCAACCAAGAGAACGTGCTGTTGCAAAGCTGGCAGACATATTGCTTGGTGACGTCCTAACTGTCTCAATGCTCTGCATCAGTTAGTTGGCCAAACAGGCTTTGGCAGAAGGTCAGAACATAAACACAGCTGATGGTGCTCACTTACAAGTGGCATGTATTGCCACGTAGACTCCACCAGGAGTGTTATTCTGTTGACCCAGTTGTGTTGGTGATCTCCCTGGCGATTTCTGCGTTTTCCATTTCTTCTGGAAAAGATTATTTCCCTAGCAGCAGTTGTTAGGCAGGAGGTAGTTTCCATCTTCCCTGCAGAAGGTTCAGTGATCAGATTGCTTGTAGCAAAGGTATTGCTTACAAAAAAGCCTGAAAGCTCTGCAGTTAAAGATTGAGGGAGTCAAGGGAGCATGGACAACATGTGCTCTGCAAACACCTGCTTTGTCATCGAATTTCCTTAAGTGACTGCTGCTTTTTCCTCTCTGTATTTGTTCTTCTCTCTGCTGTGTCAATGTCCATCCTTCCCAGCAGTAGTCTTGGCAGATGGAGCCACCATTGTAGCCAATCCTATTAGCAACACATTCAACACAGCTTCTGCAGCAACTACGGTTGTGCAAACCCATAGCCAGAGTGCCAGTGCCAGTGCACCAGCCCAGGGCTCTTCCCCGCGCCCAAGCATTCTCCGGAAGAAACCAGCCACAGATGGGTGAGTAGAATTGAAGATGACATGTGAATGACACTTCTGTCCAATCTAGCCTGGCTAAATGGAATAATTTCAGTGGAGATAAGAAAAAGTTCTAGCAGATTACTCAGTCAGCAGTGGTTGTGAGTAACTTGCTGATCTGTGAAACACACTTCTCTTCTTCCCCCAGGATAGGATATGGTTTTCTCTTACTGTCAGTAATAAAATGAGAAGAAGGACAGCGTGTCTCCCAGCTCTTGAAAGTGACCTTTTGAGGGAAAGTGGATTTGAGGCTTTCTTGCTTAGTGTAATAAAAACAAAGAGTTCATAATCTACTAAAATTAGAATTCCGTGCTTTGTCTTCAGTGCTTTTCTTGGAAGAATATGTGGATGAGTAGAAAGGATAGGATTAGTACCCTGCTGTGAAATCTGATTAGGAAAAAGGGAGGGAGTAACTTAAACTCTTAAAATATTTTATGTTGTCTGTCTAATTTTAAATGCCTGAATAAAGAGGCAAGAGACAGCTTTAGAATTAACAATGCATTTCCTCCTGACTAATGACTGAAAATGTTTGGAACTGATGTGTCCTATGAGACTAAAATCGCATACTTTTTTATTTGGGTGGAACCTTTTTTGAGGCAGAGAAGCTGCAGGCTGTAAAACTGAAACAGAAATTAAAGAAGCAGAGGTAGATCACTAAAGAATGTTTCCATTTGAGAGGTTGATTATTTTGGACAACAATTTGACTTCCAGCCCCACAGGAGACTGAATAGTCTCTAAAATACTTCTCTGTATTTAGCCCTGTGCTGCCTAACATCCACATTCAGGGCTTGAGGTCTTGGAGTCAGGCTTTGACACAGTCTAGTCCAACTAAACGAAGCAGATGCCTGTCTGAGCACAGTTTAGTTCCAGATGATTTGCTCAGTCTTCAAATAGCAGTGGAGGACAGTGGCATGGCCAGACCTCCCTTTGTCCGCTGTTGGAGCCTGGCAATCTCAGTAAGATGCTCTGACTGGCAGGATGAAAGTAAAGCTGGCATTCTTGGAGAAGCCCTAAATGGGGATTGGACTAGGCCAGAGCAACTAATCTTTTATCTTTAAAGAAAATAAAACATAACATCTAATTTGAAAGGTCAAATGAGCCTCTGTAGCAAATCAGTTATACTGAAGACAGAGTGCAATGATACAGCTGTAACTCCTATCCTGATTTGGGCAAGAGAGGGTTGATTCCTTTCCTCTCAGAGGTATTTGTCTTTGCATCGGGGAGGCGGGAATCTTAGATCTCTCTGTCTTTTACAGGCTGGCAGTCCGGAAAAGCTTAATTCCACCTCAGCCACCTGAAGTAGCTAGCACGCGTGTCGAGAGCACTATGCGAAGCACATCTGGATCACCAAGGCCTGCTGGGTAAGACTTTAGGAAACAACCGACTGCATCATAATAGTTTCATTATATTTGTTTGATTTGTATTCTCTGGCTATTGGAGCATTTTCCTTTCTTTTGGGAAATGTAACCTATATTGAATTTGTCAGTGTGATGACTTTGAACAGACTGGACTAGTTCTGCTGCTGTGAAGCTGAGGCAGTAGCCTCTTAAAAGATGTGGTTATGAGCTTTCATAGAAACAAACAAAAAACCCTCTGCTGTTGTAAAGGATAGGCCTCAACTTTTTTTTTCTATTGTACTTGAAAATTAATGCTGAAGAAAGGTAAATGGAGCTTCTACCCTGCTTCACATGAGTTCAGTGGCTTTACAACTTCTTGGTTTATGACTGTTAGCCACAGTGGGAGCTCTTGCAAACAGAGGATGGGAGGCAGTACAGCTTTAGGTAAAAGTTCCTCTTGTCTGCATCGTGAAACTGTATTGGTCCTTTTACAAGTATTTTGAAGTTACCTGGAATTAGTCATGAGATTTGCTTGTTACAGTGAGTGGAAGAAAATACCGTCTGTAATAAATACAAAGGATTAGAAAGGGAGTGGAGGAGGAAATGTAATTGAGATGACACCTTCTCCTGTTGTTAAACATGTTACTGAGCCAGGTGTTACTTGCGGGTGCAGGAAAAACTGGGTAGTCTGAATCCAGCTCAGCTCATTCAGTTTGTGCTAGGTGGTCATGACTGAGATGCAGTTAACTTCAGCTTGTTTTGCTTTTTTTATGTTACAGTGCTAAGCCAAAACCTGAAATTCATGTGTCCATGGCCACTCCAGTCACTGTGTCTATGGAGGCGGTGTCTAATCAAGGCGGCGAGCAGCCCACCATTGCGGTCCCCCCCACCTCTCAGCAACCCCCCTCTGCCATTCCAACAATCATTGCAGCAGCCAGTCCCACTTCGCAGCCTGCAGCAGCCCTGTCCACCATTCCAGGAGCTGTCCCGGCCGCTCCACCAACTTCTACCACAATTGTGGCGGCACCCGCTCCTCCATCAACCATGAGCGGTGCCCTGTCAGCAGTGCTGGGTCCTGTGGTACCAGAGATAAAAATCAAAGAGGAAGTGGAGCCTATGGACATAATGCGACCAGTATCTGGTAGGTGGCTGTTAATCATCAGGTTCTTCTGTTGTTGAGACAGTGTAGAAATTAGGAGGATTTCAACACCTCCATCCTGAAAATGAAATTGCATCTCTTTCATGGTAGCACAGAATACCAGTCAAAGGGTTCCCATACGCCTTATTACTCATAAAGTTCTTTGCCTTCTCCCTAATCTCCCATGAAATCACTTGTTACTGCGACTGCTTTGTTCATGTTCAAATGATCCAACTCCGAAGAGTCTGTGTGAATTCCTTGCTTAAAATGCACACGCTCAGCAGCAGTACCAATATATTATGAATTAGTACAGTTAATTTCAGTTTTCTCACAAATCCTACTGTTCAGGTCCAAGGGCCTTTCTTGTATGTGAAGGATTAGTGACCAGACTAGGACTTCATAGGGCCCTCCTGTGATTCATGGATATTTTTTCTCTAGAACTTTTAAAAATATTCATTATATTGCCTTACTTATGATAGCAACTTGGCCATAGTTGCATCAGATGGTATGATCAGTGAAATTCAGATCCTTATGGATCTCAGGTCAGGCGCTATACAGTGGCAAAATGATACAAATACATTCCACGTTCACGGGTTATGTGGTATCAGAGTTCTGTTTTAGTTGTTGGTTTCATCCCTCTCCTTAAAGCTGTATGTTGTTCTCTGATGGAAGAAGCTGCTTGCTACAGATGTCTCTGGAGCACAGGCAGATAGCGTTAGGCTCTTCAGGGTTCTATTGTCTCTTACTGGCAATTGTGGGTATGCCCAATTGTCAAGAGATCCCATCCCAGAAACTTTTTGTTGCAGCCTTAGTCACGGCCAACTGAGCTTTTCCCTCTGACTGTCAAGGAGTGTTCCCTCAAGCTACCTGCCGCTGTGCTGCCCAACTTCAGAGTGTGTCGATTGGTGCAGTAACCTACTGACGTGGCGCTGTTGGCTTGGCAGTACAAGTAGACTCTTGCAAGGAGTACCGCAGTCCTGATTTGATTGTATGTGACTCTCTACTAACATTACAAAGAGGAGAGGGACTTGCCTGCTCTTGAATATGATCTGTGCTGGCAGACGTACAAAGATAGCTTTTTTCTTTTTTTACAGTAACACAAGACAGATGTTAGCGTGGATTCCTTTTTGTAGCGTTCAACTAACATAAGCTTCGAATATGAAGGAACTGAGGGACAATTGTCTCTGCTCTCGTTCTGTATGCTTTTGTATGTGAGACCCTAAAGATCTTAGGGTATAGGCTTGTCCTAGCAATTGCTGCTGGCTTAATATCTGGCCTTCTACACACGTGGAGCTGAAGTGCACATACAACGGAGTCCACGCTCCTCACAGTGCACTGAAACAGCAACTACTGTTGGAGGTAGTGTTCAAACAATGTTAATGTGTTACCTTTACACTACTGACGGTTTGGGTTTTCTTCCTCTTTCCTTCCTCTCAGCAGTCCCTCCTTTGCCTACAAGTACTGTGTCTCCGTCTTTGGCGTTGCTGGCCAACAACCTTTCAATGCCTCCAAGTGATTTGCCACCTGGTGCCTCCCCGAGGAAGAAACCCCGTAAGCAGCAGCATGTCATCTCCACAGAGGAAGGGGACATGATGGAAACAAACAGCACTGATGATGAGAAATCCACTGCCAAAAGTTTGTTGGTGAAGGCAGAGAAGCGCAAGTCTCCTCCAAAGGAGTATATAGGTAATGTCATCTCCAATGTCTTTTTTCCTATTTGAACATCTGTATTTTTGCTTCCTTTTGTTTCTCCGAGGAGGTGCTCTGTCATTCTCCCACTTTGAAAATATAAATAATACAGAATCCAAGTATCAGTTTCTCAGCACTCTCTGCATAGTTACGTTCAGGGGAAATAACCTTTCTTGATATATAGAGCATCACTTTGTATGAGGTAGTGCTTACCAATCTTCTGCTGGAGTTACTGTGTCATGCTGATCTCCTACTTTCACCTACTTGATGATGATGATAATACAGTTCTCCCTGGATCCTCTTCTAGATGAAGAAGGTGTAAGATACGTCCCTGTGCGTCCACGGCCGCCTATCACGTTGCTCCGGCATTATCGCAATCCTTGGAAAGCCGCTTACCACCACTTTCAGAGATACAGTGATGTGCGGGTAAAAGGTCAGTCTGCTTCTTGTAGTTTGACAGTTTCATTCATCCAGGATGGAACCGCTTCAGCGTACGTGGTAACGGTGTCTTAGGAGCATTCTTAGCTAGCTGGTGTTGATAAGCAATCCCACAAAAAGGTTTTGAATGCAATTTGGAAAACAAGGGTTGATCAAGTGAGCTAATGACTTTCATTAGCCAGAAGTTGCCTAAATCCTCTTCCGCTCTCAAGATAAAGGAGGAAAGAAGGGAAGGACACTACATGGAATTCGCTATGACTTTGTAAAAGAAAAAATTGTATGGTTATTGAGAAATGTATTTACATACAGTGATAGAAACTTACTAAAGAAAGTAATCTTCGAAGAAGTGACATGCTCTGGTGATATGCTACAGTTTAGTTTTCTGATTTTCTTACTACCTTACAAACTTGCCAGTTTAATCAAAGCATTCTAGATCTAGCATAACTGGTCTGGTCAACTAATAAATGGGCTTTTAAAGAAGACTTTTTTTTTTCTAATATGAGGAAAATAGAGATCAGATATTGTTTTCTAGGCTTCTTAGCTAGTATCTTAGAGTTTTTAAGCAGATTGGGTTTTCACAGCTGCGTAAATACATCAAGGAGGGAGCTGATACATATTTCAGTGGTAAAGGATGGACCCTTTACTACTTCATGCAGGGTGTTGAAACGCTGAGCAGCACTACCTTTTTTTTTTTTTAAATGGGGTGGGGGGAAAACAGAATATAATTTTTCTGGAAATACAGATAATCTGTTAATAGGTGAGAGCAGCGATCAGATACATGGCAGATGGATAGCTATTTTCCTATCCGAATCAAAACGTTGCTCACTCTCATTTGTTAAGATGTACGGAGGGCCAGAGTTGGGTTAATGTTTTTGTTTGAGAAGAGAGGCCTGGCAAACTCTTGAAATTTGAATAACATATCTTTGTATTTCCTGGTGACAGAAGAGAAGAAGGCTATGCTACAGGAGATTGCCAATCAGAAGGGTGTATCCTGTCGTGCACAAGGGTGGAAGGTCCATCTCTGTGCGGCACAGCTACTACAGCTGGTAGGTGAATGGGGCTCGCCAGCTTCCTACAACATGGGGGAACACAGAGTGGCGTAAGACAGGAGGATGTTTTTACAAACTCAGTACACGGTCATCTGACATTGGGATACCATAAAGGAGCTGGTGTGTAGTGCCCAAAGGGAGTGGGACGTGCTTTCCCCTTTCTCAGGAATGTGGCATAAGTGGCTTGGAAACGTAGAGTGTTGATTTTGATCCAGACATAAGAGCTGATGTATTTTGTACAGATGATCAAAATTGGCAACTCCCTCCTGCTGATGCACAGGTCTGAAGAAGCGTCTGTTTGGGATGGTGCGGCTGATCTGAGGAGGCAGCACTGATCCACATTCCTGGATGCTTCTGTTTCAGGTTGGGGGTGAGGTAGGTGCTCTGCATTCTAGCACCAAACTCCCCAAAACCTCTGCATTCCTGGAATAGTATTGTGAGAAATAGGGGAAACAGTTCTGGTTAGGATCCGTGTTTGTTCAGAAGTGGAGCAATCCTGTAAATAGGATGTTAGTAAGAATGATAGTGCCACACTCTACGTCAGAGGCTCCATTTTCTGAATTACTAACATGAGCAGCTGAGAGGGGAACAGATTATCATCTTCTCTGTGTAGCTTTCTTAATGCGGGCAAATGTTTTTCTGGCCTCGTGGTGAACCTTCTCATGAAGTGCTAATGTCTTTTAGACAAACCTGGAGCATGATGTGTATGAGAGACTGACTGCCCTGCAGGAGGGACTCATTCCGAAGAAAAAGGCAGCGACCGATGATGACTTGCATCGAATCAATGAACTGATACAGGTAGGTTCCTGTGGCCTCTCAACCCAGCAGAGCTGCTTTACCCTTAATTACAAAATATCCTGCTGCAGTTAGTAAGAGCTAAAGCTGGCTTAAAAACAATCACATAGGTACACTTCCTGTGTTTCCAGTGTCATCAGTTACAAGTGGTATTACGAAAAGGTACAGTGGTTGCTTAGACTAGACGGTCTGCTGTTAATGATGACGGTGTTTCATTTCAGGGGAATATGCAGAGGTGTAAACTTGTGATGGATCAAATCAACGAGGCTCGAGACTCCATGCTAAAGGTCTTGGATCACAAGGATCGTGTTTTGAAGCTTCTAAACAAGAATGGAACTGTCAAGAAAGTATCCAAATTAAAGCGAAAGGAGAAGGTGTAAAGCCAGAATAATGACTCTGGAAATGGAGAGCGTGTACAGAATGAGTTGAGCCTTTTTGTAGTTTGGGTTTATTTTTAAGCAGAGCATCTGAATAAAAAGGATGAGTTTAGGGAACAGATGGCAACAGATGGACACGTGAAGCCTGGTGACCTGAAGGGATTGTCACTGATCTGTCATAATGAACAAAGATTTCTCTCAGGCTCATCCCTTTTTAAAGTCTTTCCAGTCCCATTTGTTTAACCCTCCTGATGTGTCAGTGCCTACTAATTGGAACTAGTGATGCAATGTGTGGTGGACAGTGCTCTCCCTCTGTTCTGCAGCTTAGGGGTAAATGTACACAAGGTGCGTATACACCTCTCTCTGTAATGCAGGAGAAGATTCTGCATGAGACACCAGGAAGCTGACATACAGGTATCGACCCAGACAGCAGCCATGCTTCAAAGCATTGAAAGTGACACCGCTTTCAGTTACCGCATTCAGTTCTTGTTCTTCTGGCCTTCCAGTGTCTGAAGTAGCCTTCTTAAACCAGTGCCACTGCACTAGGAGATCTGCCGCATTCAGAATCTCCAATGGCTCAGAAGTCCTAGCTGTCAAGTTAAAAAAAAAAGGAGAAGTGTGGGGGGAAATAATTTCAAAGTGATTTTGTAGTGTCTCTGTGTGTGCGTGTGTGTCTGTTGGTGCTCTGGGATACTTGTTTTGAAGTACCTCTTGCAACAGAGGACTTCCTTGTAGCTGGTGTAATGTTAATTGTATGTACCACATACATCCTGAAAACATTAATAAAGGACTTGGAGGTTTTTGTATGTGAGTAGTTTGTATACCTTTATACTAGTGAAACTATTCAACCTGTAAACTCAAAACCAAGTTAAAACCTTGAAAGAAGCCTTTCGGGGAGAAGAAACGGAATGTTGGAAAGCAGTCAGCCTCTTGTGCTGCAGAGGGAAGGATAATTTAATTCACCTTTCAGCTCCTAAAGGTGCAATATGGATTGCCCCCATGCACTTCTGCATTTAACCTTAATTTTTCAGAAAGGTTGCCAAATCAGTTCGTTTTTAGTCTCCTCAGCAGGAGGCTTCAGTTTCATGAACTAATTCTGTTTTAAGAACACTTTTTTTTTTCCTCATTCAGTTATAGGGCTGTTGTCTTGACTTTATTCAGAACTGAGTTCTTTTAGAATTTAGATTAGAAAAAATGGTATTTAATTCCTTATTTCTGATTTTTTTTATGAGTGGAGTAAGTAGAATGTCCATATTCACACTGTTCTTGTGTTTTTACCACAGTCTCATTTTCGTATTAGCTTCATTTTACTTTTTAAAATAAAAACACTTTCATTGTAAGATACAATTCTAGTATGATATTGTACCTTTGGTAATAGGAAAGTTACGATAATTGTTTGCTAATTTCCTTGGCTAGAAGAAAGAAAACATCAAAATATCCCTACAGTTTTACAAGCCCACAAGGGGTGTGTGCATATAGATGTGTATGTTGAAAGGCAAGAGACTGGCACAGCACAAATTAAAATGCGGAGGTAAGACATGAAAAGGTGGGAATCAAATAAACTGCCACTTATCACCTTGTATTTCTTGTGCTTCAGGAACAGAACATGCACAGCTGGTCAAGTATTTGTTTGACATTGTCATGGTAATAACACACTGATGCCACCAACGCTCCCAGGTTCGTAAAGATTCTGCAATCATGATTCTAAAGCTGCCTACAACTCTTGTAGGCTTGAGAACTGTTTCGCATCGTTGGCAAAGGGCTTTTGGATGAAATCCAAGGCATTACCAGCAAAGGCTGAGGTATTTGGGTGGGGGGAAGGATTCTTTTAAGGACTGCAGAAGTTGAAAACTTGCTCTTAATCCTTTCTTCTAGGCTATTCTCATCTGATTCTTTGAGAAGACTCCTGTAGTAACCTTAGTTTTCACAAGCTGGTATTCAAAGCTATCGTCTAGACTAAAAGGATCGTGCTATTCCATAACCTTAGAATGGTGGTAATTTCAGTGTTGTCCTAGTGCTGCGGAAACCGTCTAGATTCTGTAGGAGGAAGTAAGATCCACAGACGTTCAGCTGGATTTCTCTAACCAATGTGTTCTTGCCTCTTACTTATTCTTTATGCTTAGATCAGGAATGGTATACAGAAATTCCGTTTTGCAATCTTAAAGAGCTAATGCCAGTTTATTTGTCTCTTGAGGTTGAATGTGTATGTGCTTATACGGGGATCTGCAAAATCTGTTCTTCAGCTTTAAGTGTTTTGCCTGTGTTCTCAGAAGGAAATTAGAAAGTAGCGTTGGGGTTTGCTGCAGGGTTCCTCTATCACACAACTTGCTGTACGCGGAGAACACCTCATGCCGCCAGAACACCTTGACTTTTACAGTAATCCTCATCCCAGAGACTTAACTACTTGAAACAACCAGCTGTGAGAGAAGTCTCTCCTCTGAGAGTGTACATTGAGCCTCTGTTTTTACAACGTGTCCTAGAGCCATTGATGGAGTAACTACTTCCCCGCGGTATTTTTGATGGGGTTGAGTAGAATAGGTGGAGGGAAGGGGTTAGGTGCCCCACTGGGGATGGGAGGCAGTTAGAAATATTTAAAAAGTAGGTTTTGCCCGGGTGCAGTTGTGACACTCGGCATCTTCGTGCTACCGCCGGAACAGTGTTTCGCATCTCGCTGTAAATAAAACCCGCTCGGCGGCCGGGGCTAATCTTATCACCGTCCTGCAAGCGAAAACCCCGGCGCCAACAGCGACGGAAAGTTAGCTCGGGTTTGCCCTCCTTCCCGATTCGCCCTGCCAGGCCGGATGAAGTAACCCGCGGGAGGAGCCGTGTCGGTACGAACGTCCCCGTGAAACCCCCGGCGGAACGGGGCTCCGGGCTTCCCTCGCGCCCGTCCCCTCACCG